TTCAACCAATCCCTGTGAATTCTTTTTATCACATTTTAGAACGCAACAATCCCAAAAAAAGTCTGAAAAATCTTGGAGGGACTGCATTACAGGAGCCCATATGTACTGTAAATAGTACAGGATTATTGTAAGTGTTCTTCTTTGAGTGAAGCAATCATTTAGAAATGTAGTAGAACATAAAAACAAGAATTTATTAATGACTTCTCCAGCAGCTCACCTTTTCCTGCTTTCCCCGGGTGGTTCTTGGCTGGTGCTGCTGCATCCTGGCCTTGCCCAGCAGGTAGAGGAGGAGGTGGTGGTGAAGGAGGAGGAGGAGGAGGGGGAGGAAGAGGAGGAGGTGGAGGGAGGTCCTGGTGAGGAGGGGTGAGCTCCTGGCTGACTAATTGGTCTCGTCGTCCCATGTTGACCCCAGAGACTGTGCCGGCCTCTCTGGTCTGGCTCTGCAGTGCATGGGTGAGAGATCATTCAGTAAAGGAGAGGTTAAGCCCACAGAACAGAGGTCAGGGATAACTAGATACAGTACAGCATTAACTCCTCAGACTCAAGTGCAGCTTGTTTGCACACTGGAGCATACCAATATAACTGTGACCTCAAGGTGGTATGTCTTTGCTTACAGCTGGGTCCACTGCAAAAAAGCAAATAGCAAATTCTGCGTCTCCTCCTGTGCAAGCGCCTCCTCTCAATCAGTTGCCTTCACAGTCCCGCATGGGCACAAAACCACACACAAGGCAACATTCAACAACCATCTAGATGAATGCAACGCTTAAGCTCTGTGCTGTCCCTGCTTGAACAAACTCGAACACTAAGCAATGCTCTCTGCAGGGCTGGCGCAGTGCTAAAACAAAGTGAGGAGAAAGATCTGGCAGCGCAGAGCAAACCAATATTTAACCAGGCTCGTCCACTGAGAGGGCACTCTTATTTATAGCAACGTCCACGAGCGGCAGTTGTATAGAGTTGATGTCCAAACACACATTTAAACCTGAAGCCGCCTTTTACTGTGGACTGCTCTGATTGAAAGAGGCTTTGACATGCTTTGATCTGAGATCTCCCACCAAACGTTTCTAACCTGGTCCAGGAACTGCAACCAAACCAAACATTGGTAATTTCCTTACATTAGATTTAGGAAAACTCCACCTTAAGACTCCTGTTATCAAAACAATCTTTCAGAGATTGGTAATTTAATTTAGGTTTGTGTTGGATGTACTTTCCTGTAAGTTCTCCTTCAATTGGTGGTTTCCTTGGTTGATTTCACACCTGCAGTTTGGTTCATTTGGTCCAGACCAAAAGGAAATATGGTACATTGTTGCATTTTAGCTCTTGTCCGGTTTGTGTTCACACTGATGAACCAGGAGCTGTAAACATGAAGTTATACAGACTGATAGGTGAATCACTGATTGATAGACAGTACTGCCATCCTGCATCATCAGGACCAACGTGGGGAAGGACAAGGCGTCTTGTACCGCAATGACGGGTACTATGTGTACTATGTCACACACTTTGTAATTGACTAACCAAAGTATACAGAGACACATCATACCACAGTTTTTTTGACTAACCCTTTTGACTGTCTGATTGATGAGGTCACACTCCCACACTCATGCTGATACCAAACTATTTCCATAAATATAAACATGGCTTACACAGATCGATTATAAGATAATTTCCTGAACAGTTCACAATCAGCAGACAGATTTATTAGCAGTTTAGCTTTTGAAATCGTGAAGACACTGAACTAGTGTCTCAGTATACTAGGGCTGAAACGAATGTCTACAAATGTCTTGTTCTGTCCTTCCAGGCCTGGGAAACAATTTAAAAACCTAAACCAGAGAAAAAAAGCAAATCCTCACATTTGAGAAGCCGAGATCCGAGAATGTTTAGTATTGTTTCTTGAAAAATGGTTGAAAAGATAAATCAGCAAACAAAATAGTTAGGGTTAGTTCACCATATCAACTTTATAAGGGGAAAATGTCAGTATTGTGTTTAAAGCTTGTTGAACTGCCTTGTGGCCAAAACATCAATTAAAGCAGGTTTAAGCTAAGGATAGAGGAGCATTTCAACAACAACCCCGACCCCTGGCGCATGTGGCAAGGCATCCAGGCCATCACAGACTACAAGCCCAAGCAGTTGTCCCTACGTGCTTCAAAACCACATCCATCGTGCTGGTGCCCAAACACTCAACTGCAGCGAGCCTCAATGACTTCCACCCTGTTGCACTCACCCCTACCAT